CATAGAGTGCCAGATGCATCATGGGATGCGACAGTATTGCAACCACCATATCTAGGATGGGGAAGGAGCCAACCACCCTAGGTCCGGAGGACCTAAAGGGCCATCGCTTCTCGGCCTTTTGGCTAAGATCAGTCAGAGGGCCCCCCTTAGTGTTTTTTTCCTAGGTGGTCAAAAGAGGAGCCAATCTCTCTTTGTGGAGATGTCTAACACCGATGCTTCCACGCTTGTGGGAGAGCCACTTATCCGTGTTATTAGTGAATCCGTGAACGAACCAGATGCGTCGCCTGAGCTGTTTACCCCCCCTGAATCGTCGCCCCCCCTGGACTCCGAAAACCTTATGGATGGTTCCGAGCGCCCCCCGGAGTTGCCTGATGCTTTGTTGCGTCTCCAGAATTCTGGCCACCACCTACAAGTTGTTTCGTGTTCTGCGTGGAATGTGCGAGGGAACGCCGTCCGTATTCGTAAAGAGCTTTCCGTTTGTTTTTCAGTGGACACTGTAATCACCAGCAACGATATTATTGTTGGGCTGGATAGAGCAGGAGTCGACATTGACGACATAACCTCCATCCAGCGCCGAGCAAGCAACAACTCCTGGGTTGTCACCTTTGCGAGTAAAGCTGTAAAGGACGCTTGTCTCAACGAGCATTCGATCACAATTGCCGGCTGTTCGGTCCTGGTTGGAGATTGCGAGAATAGGGTGTCAATTGTCAAGGTGTATGAATTGCCCGATGAGATGCCAGATTCTGTCATCATTGGCCGCCTTGCCCACTATGGCAGAATAATTTCTTTCCGCCGCGACCGCGTAGCGGACGCCATTTTGAATGGCGTTCGTACCGCGCGAATGTTCATCGAGCGCCCTATCCCCGCCCAAACGTTCATTGCCGGCGAGTTTGTGCGGTTCTGGTATCCATCCCAGCCCAAGACCTGCCGCAAATGCGGCTCAGAGGATCACCTTGCGGCCGCTTGTAGGTCTCAACGCTGCTTCAATTGCGAGCGGCCCGGCCATCGCGCCGAACAGTGTGATATGCCCGCGCTTTGCCGGGTATGTCTCTCTGATGGTCATGAGACCTCAAACTGCGCTTTTATTTATTACAGTTCAAATGTATCCGCCCCAAAGCCTACCGACACGCCCGCTGAGAAGGGGAAATCATATTCTGGGGCCGCTAAGACCGGTCAATTAGTGGAAGCCGCCAGAAAAGCCGAGGAAGATGTCAGCCGGGCTAAACGAGTGGAAGATGAGCGCGCGAGACGCGAGGAACGCGCGCGGAGGGAGAAGGAGGGAGAGAGAAAGGAGACAGAGGAGAAGGACAGGAGAGAGAAAGACAGGAAGGAGAAAGATCGCAAGGAGAAGGAACGAAGAGAGCGAAAGGAGAAGGAGAGAGAAGAGAAAGACCGCGAAGATCGAAAGGAGAGAGATAAAAGGAAGCAGGACAAACATCATGAGAGGAGACGCAGAGATAACGACGATTACAGAAGAGATGAGAGGAGCGATCGCGAACGGGATCGCGATCGCTTTCGCCCTTCGCGCGATCGCTCTTCTCATCGCGACTATGAGCATAGTGAGAGCGAGTCTGGCTCGGAAAGCGAAGGTTGGACAACGGTATCTCACCGCAAACGTAAGAGTAAGTCCTATTAATTTATTCTAATTAACAACCTTCGTGTATAACTCGCTTAGAATTCTTACCATTAATGTTCGTGGACTAGGTACTACTCGTAAACGCGATCTCTTTCTTCATGAGTTAAACGAAAATTTAGACTATGATTTTTTTCTCTTACAAGAGACGCATATTTCCTCTAAATCTCAGGCTGATCTAGTTGAGAAATGCTTTAAAGGCCAATGTTTTTGGTCCTTTGGGATCGGCAAATCTGCCGGCGTAGCGATTCTTGTTTCTCCTAAATTTTCTGGTAAGATTATTCGCTATGTCCATGACACTGATGGTAGAATTCTAAGCCTTCTTGTTGATCTGAACCCTTTTAAATTTAATATTATCTGTGTCTACGCTCCAAACACCGTGTCCGATCGTAATTTATTTTTCAACCGTCTACATACCTTTTTTCTGTCACCCGGCGATTTAATTTTAGGTGGAGATTTTAATTGTATTGACTCCGATCTTGATCGCTTGCATATTAAATCGGACTTTAGCGCGGACAAGCGTTGCCTGTCGGCCCTTAAGTCCGATTTCTGCCTTGTTGATGTCTTTCGTAAACAGAATCCGAAAGCGATTTCTTTCACCTGGTCTAATAAAGATTTTTCCCAGGCTTCTCGCCTCGATCGCTTCTATATTTCTTCCTCTCTCTTACAGTCAGTTCGCGGAAATAAGTGTTTTCCTTGTTCCCTTTCTGATCACGATTTCGTCGATTTATTTATTTCCCCGGTTAACGTTTCTTTGCACGGAAGCGGTGTTTGGAAATTTAATTGCTCTCTTCTCTCTGATAATGATTTTATTGATACTATGACTTTGTTGATCACTTCTGAGAAAGAAAAGATTCCTCTGTTCGACTCGCTTGAAGGTTGGTGGGATAACTTGAAAATTCAGATTCGTCGCGTTTGTATAGATTTCTCTTCTCGAAAACGTAGACAACTTCTTTCCGAACGCAATTCTCTAACCAAACGTTTACTCAGAGCTAAATCGGCTGTTTTTGCTGGCGATCGC